TGTAGAAATATTAGTTTCAGTTCTTTAAAATTAAGAGAATCATAAGCGATCAAAATTTGAATGGCCGTACGAATTAAGACGTCTATAATTCTTTTAATTTTAACTATATAGTGCTAATATTTTTACATTCAATGTAGATTTTTATTGTCTACAAGATTACTTAGTAATATATTGACAATTTAATTATAAATTGGAAACTATTATATGTAGCTACTATAAAGTTAATTTAAAATTTTATATTACCAACCTATCGGGTACCCCGAAATTTAGCAAAACTAACACGATTATCGGGTACCCGATAGGTACCCGAAATTTGGATTTTTGACCTGTGTTAGATATTCGGTTGCCACTTATTCTTCCAGGCTATTAAAGGTAGGGATCCAACTATATCAATTTTCACCTGATCAAAAGGATTTCTAACTTTAATGAAATGGAATGGCTCTTTAGTCTTGGATTTTCCTCTTTGCTGGCATGCATCACAAGATTGGATATACTTTTTAATATCTTTTTTCATCTGGGGTTGGAAATATTAGAATGAAGTTCTTTGGTATGTGATAATAAAATTAAAATATCTGAAAAAAAAGTCAGAATGCATGGAAAATAGAATTAGCTCTTTTTCATTAATTTTTATTATTCTTTGGAGACTTTGGAATTTTTCAAGTTTCTTTTGTATAGGTTTTCTTCTCCAGTGAATAAATATCTTGTTTAATGTTTCAGTTTCTTGATTTGAGCACTATTATAGTACTCCAGAACAGTGGAATCATCCTTTTTAGTTTTCAATGTTTTTCTTTTTTAAATATTCTTTTTAGATGTGTCCTGTATTGGAATTTCTCTAATAGTTTCTACAAGGTAAGTTGTTATTGAATTTTGTTATTGTTTTAAGTTCTTTGAATTAGTTTTCAATTTCTAATCTCAATTATTAAATTTCTCCAAGATATATACTAACTAATTTTTATTTATTTATATTGAATGCTTATAAATTAATTAAAATTATTAATAATTATTGTTTTTTTATTTTTATTATTTTCAATAGAAATTAAAACAAGGATTTTTCAAGTTGTTAATATTGATCTAGGACAAAATGTCCATATTAAAATAATTCTTTTCAAACTTGTAGATGGTAATAAATTTATATTTTTAAAGAATAGCAATTTTCTTACTAATATAGTTTAGAATATCTTGTGAAAGAACAAGAACTTTAGAGTAGAATGATTAATAATAAGCAAAAAATAGAATTCATGAAGATACTGGCAATAGTAAGTAACAGTCTAAACAACTGTTAGATATTCTTTTTCAATAGTAAAATAGTTTTTTTCAGCTGGAATCAAGGATCTACTAGTAAAAGTAATGATTCTTTCTTAATTTTCTTTATCTTTTTATAACAAAATTACTTCTAAACCTAAATCAAAGACATCAGTAAACAAGATGAATTCTTTATCAAAGTTAGAATAAGTTAGGATTGAAGTAGAGATAAGATAAATTTTCAATACATTAAATACTTTTTGTTGATCTTTAGTTCATCTATATAAAGTATTTTTCTTAAGCAAGTTGTTTAATAATATAATGATATTAATAAATCCTTGAACAAATCAATAATAATATGAAACTAATTCAAGAAATTCTTGAAGCTGCCTTATATTTTTGAGTACTAAAAAGTGTTTGACTACTTCTATTTTATCTAGATCAGTGAAAATTTTCTTCTTTTCTTACTATATATCTCAGGAATTTTAATTCTTTTCTGATGAAAGAACATTTCTGAAGTTTTAGTTTCAATCTGACATTATGAAAATGTCAAAGACTTCTTGAAGATGCTTTAAATGATTATTAAAAATCTTGGAATAGATATTTAAATTATCTAAGTATAATACTATACTTTTTTTAATTAGGTTGAAGAACAAAGAGTTTATTAATCACTAGAAAGTGACTGAAGGATATCATATTGAATTGATAAATTCCAGAAGAAGTAATAAATACAATCTTCTCTTTATTACCAGGATTCATTTCCACTTACCAATATTTATTAATAAGAACTAAAGAAGTATACTAAGAAGAATTCTACAAAGTATCCAACAAATTATCAATTTAGGATAATGGATAATTATTTTTCTTTATTATCACATTTAGTTTTTAATAGTTAATGCAAATTCCTGTTTTATCTTTTTGTTTTATCAAGACTACTGGAGAAGTTCAAGGACTTGAAGAAAAAGGTATAATACTTTCTTTTAATATTTTTTTTACTTTTTTATTCAAAAACTTCTTTTTTTTAGAGAAATACCAATATGGTTTCTGTTTTATAAGTAGTACATCTCCAGAACAAATTCTATATTAAACAATATCAGTTTAACCTAACTGATTAAATAAAAAAACAAAGTTATCTATATTCTCTTGTAATAAAGAATTCAATTCTTCTTTTTGCTTCATCTCCAAATCAGGATTAATCATAATATCAGAATTTTCTTCTTTACCAAAAAAATAACAATCAAATATTTTGTTAGTTTCATTATCATCAGTTTTTTATCAAATAACTTATTAAAGTCTTCTTCCAAGGATCCATTATATTGAACAGAAACTCTAGACTCACATTCTTTACTGGAAGTTCTTCTATTTCAGTTTTTATTTTGAAATGTGCAAAAAGTTATTCATCTAATTCTTCATCTTCAAAATCTTCTTTACTTTCAGTATTAGTTTCTTTACTGCTTTCTTCTTCTTCTTTTTTGTCTAGCTACTTTAAGTTTTCTACAATACTAGTCTATCACTTTCTAATGAATAGAAAAAAAGTTTCTTGAATTCTATCAGAACCTTTATCTTATGGTTGTCCCAAAGAAGGATCATCTCTGAATTACCTCAGTTTATATTGACATTAACTTTGAAAAGTTAATCATTACTTACAATCACTTAATAAATCTGAACATTTGTTACTATAATTTCAATTAGAATCTTGTAGTTATCAACTTCAAAGGGGAAGCTGAATATTTTTTCTACTGCTCTTTTACTTTTGCCATGTACACTAGTCATATTTACAGTAGATAGTCTTTTCACTTTCATTCTAATCTTTTGTAACAGGTAGGAAAAAATAATATTTTTAGAAGATTCACTATTTACTATTAGTGAGATAATTTTGTTTTCTACTTTGGCATCACAATATAGAACAGTAGATTTATAATTTGATTGAATATCTATATTGGTTTTCTGTTTTCTTTTGAATGGAACTTTCTTCTTTTGAAGGTTCTTTATCAAATCTTATCTCATTTCAAAAGCTTTTAATAGTGGTTGGCCATAAGTAATGTTAGCCTTTTGACTCTGCAAGTTGGCTACTATAGAATATTTGAAAATAAGTAAAACAATTTGTAGTAATTCTTCTTCAATAGATTTTCTTCTTGGTGCCAGAGTCTTCTTGACTTTTGGAATCACTTTTGATTTCTCTTTCAAGGTAGATTCTTTCTCTTGAATTACTTTCATTTGAATATCTTCATTTCAGATTTCCATTTGATTAAACTCTTTGAGTACTTTTATGGTTACTGGTGAATATTCCAAAATTGTTCTTCTTTTTTCTTTCTCTTATTTTTGAATTAAAATAAAATAGGATCTTTCTTAATTATAGAACTTGGACCACTTCTATTAGCTAAATAGTAAGACATACTATTATACTCATGCAGATTGAAAAGATTATTAGATTTTTCTAGAATATTGTTATTGATACTCTAACCATTTCTGACTTGATTTATGATATGAGTTAAAAAAGCTTGTAAAATTTGAACAAGATTAAAACTGTTATCAGCAGGGTATTGTTTAGAAACAGATAATTATTTACTTGGATCTAATTTTTCAAAAGAATATTATTAGAAAAAGTATATCATAAATTATTATTATAATTGTTATTATTATTATTTGAGTAATTGTTCTATTTGATCTATTATAGCTTTTTTAGAATCTAGAACAGTTTTTGCTTAAGTGGTTGGAATTACTACAGTTATAACAACTGAACTTGGATCTATCATCATTTCTATTATTATTGTTACTATTACTAATTAACTAGGAAGAATCTCTCTTCTATATATTATTTACTTGACTCATTATAGCAGTCATAGTTTTAGTCAATTTATTGATAGCAGCTTCTGTTGGATTAACTGGAATTAGAATTTCTTGAGAACTAGTAGATTTGTAATAAAGATAGGTAGGTGTAGTAAACTATTTAGATTATAAGATGGAGCTGAAATATGAAAACTTAGGAAAGATGCATAGGTGGAATTCTATTTCAGAGTACTTTCATATATCTTTACTTTACTATATGTATCAGGAAGATTGACTAAGGTTAAAGTAAATATATGAATATAGAATTCCAGATAAAGACCATTAACAAAGATTTGTGCTCTTGTAGAGACAGAATAAATATGTTTTCTTGCTTCTACTCTTTAGATCAATTTTTTATTTCATTATAGTAGAAGTCCACATTTTTTTCAAGATATTTCTTTCTTTAAATTAACTGTATTAACTATTTGACTTCTAATACAACAGTTTGAAACTGTTGAATAAAAAGAAGCTGAAAGCTTTGAGCTTGGTTATTAATATTATTCCATCTATTTACTATTGAATTCTGAGTTTTTCTTATAGTTCATCAAGTAGTAATAGAATTTCTAAAGTAAGGTAATTACAGCAATTTTCTAATTATTGAAAATTATATTAGTATCAAATACCTTTTCTATTTTTTCTATTCAAGTAATTAGATCTTGATCTTTACTAAAGAAGTTCAGATAAGGTATCAAATTCATTTTCTAGTTTGGAGTAGTGAAATTAATTACTGGAAGTTAAGCATTTTGTAATTATTATATCAAAATAGTTAACTGGACATCAAAGTAACTAACTAGATATCAAAGTAACTAACTGGATATTAAAGTAGCTGACTAGACAACAAATTGATCAAATTCTTAGTTCTTTATTTCAGAAAGAATATAAATGAATAGTTCTTATTCTTCTAGTTCTTCTTCTAATTCTTCTCTATCTGCTTTGAGATCAAAATCAGTTTGTTCCAGAGTTTCAAAATTGGATAATACTTCAGAGAAAAAAAGAAATTGAAACAGTTGAACTTCTAAAAGGTCTAGAATAAGGTTTTTGAAATCTATTCTAACTAATTTTATCTAAATCAGGATAAAATTAATTGTTTCTATTTACATAACCAGTATCAAATTGATACTACCTATTGGAAGAGTAAAGCAAGTACAGGAAAAGTGCTTAGATTTAGTCTGGTAATTATTAGGAGTTTTGAAAATATGGAATGTATAAATATTAACTAAAAAAAACTAATCTATTTTGGACTTAGGACGATTAAAGACAAAAATGAGTAAGTAAGAAAAAAGGATAAAAGATAGAACAATAATTGAAGAAAAATAGTAATAGATTTTAAATTAAAAGATGTTTAAATCAGAATAAGATAATTTTGCTAAGAACTTTGATAGAAAATATAAATAGATTTAAGTAAAAAAAGTGTAGTTCTGACTAAGTTACATTGTTGACCCTAATGGTCAAATTCTATTTATTATTATATTTTTATCTTATTTATTATATTATTATTTTAACATCATGTATTTATTAGTTTATTTATATTTTATTAGTGTAATTTCATATTTTATTAGTATATATTTATAGAAAACTATTAATATAAATTATTTAGAAATTGATACAACTATTAAATATTACAACTGTAGATCTAAGCATAATCAATAACATAGTGTATAGCATAATCAATAGTATAATATACAGTGTAATAGATAGCATAGTAGAAAGTGTAGTTAATAATATATACATCAGTGCAATTAATAGTGTATGCATTAGTGTAGTTTACAGTATAATTTATTATAACTTCAATTATGTATATAAAAGGTTGAATTTCTTTTTGCTCAGTTCTCAGTTAGTTATTTTTCAGTTTAGTTCAAACAGTTAATCAATTTAGAATTAGTTCAATAACTAATTCTCAGTTCTTTTATTAATAAAATACTTTATAATTTACCTTATAATTTCTAAATGAAATTCTGTATTATTCCTTAGTGAAATACCAAAACCTTTGTTAAATTATACCTTACTCTGTGATCTTGATATACAGATTTTGTGTTATAATTCTCTACTTAGTGTTAGGAATTATCAGTTTAATTTAGTTTATATCTTGTTCTTTGTGAATAGTTTAGTTAAACCCTTATAAAAATCACATAGCCTTACCTCTTTTGAACAAATTCGCAATATCTAAATTCTTTAAACACTATATTTTAGTAATATAAATTAGTTAGTAGTAATATATTTTAGTTTAGCTACCATACCTTTAGCTAATAGTTAATCATATTTCTTGAAGGTCAGATCATGATTAACAATGTAATTAATTAAGTAAGAAAATAAAGATCAATAATTTATTTGAAGATTTAAAACTTAAGAATATGTAATTTATAAGTTTATTATTAATTCAATAAAGAAAATAAAGAAAATAAAAAAAGAATAATATATTTAGAATAAAGAAATAAAGTTTTTATTAAAGAAAAAAATAAAGAAATCACAAGAAGAAATAAAGAAAATAAAGAAAATAAAGAAATCTATCCTAATTTATTAATAATTTTGTTCAATATTATCTAATTATTAACTATTTATTAAGTGATTAAATTCTGATTAATTACATGAGGAAGAAAATTAAAACTTTTTATATACATTTTTAAAAATTACTCTATAAATATAAATTAATTAATCAATTTATTACATGATCATAAGAACAAAATAAAAAGAAAAAAAAAGAAAATATTAATTTAGTATCAAATCTTGAATAGGTAAAGCTTCATGGCTACTGTGAAGGTGATGACAATTCATAAATAATATTATTCCTTTAATTTAGTGGTATTTTGTTAAGAGAGTGATTATATCTTTGCAGATCTCAATATTTTCTTTACAGTATCTGCAGTTCTGCAGTAAGAAATATAAAAGTCATATAGTACATAATTGATATAGTCAAAATAAAATATAAATATAAATGGAATTGAAAGAAGTAAAGATTAAATTTTATTAAGGGCAATAATAGGATGAAAAATTTGATGGAGGGGACAAAAATGAAGTAAGTAGTATAAGGTAAGTGTATATATAAAGGTAAGTATTGATAAGCAAAAGTAAGTGGTTATAATTATTAATAAGAGAAAAAAAAAAGTACAAAGGTAAGAGAGAGATTATTTGATCAAATTAAGAGGATAACAGGATATAATTAATAGGCACAATAGTATAAAAACATATTAAATAAAAAGAGAAAAAAAAATATAATAGTAACAATACAAATATAATCTATACAATCAATATTTTAATTTTTCATATTATATTTTTAACAATTATCAATAATTTGAGTTGTAAAATTTTTTTTGTTATACTGATTTTCTGTTTTGCCTAATTGAAGAGAAGTATTATTTAATCTCTAATTTATAAATGTCTAATTTTTAGATTAGAGACTTATCATTAACTTCTCAAGTTTTTGATATATCTGATTCAATTTGTATTTTGTTTTTAATTCTTTTTTTTTATTGAAGTGATTTATTTTTTGAAAATAGAATCAGTTATTAGTAATTCATTTTACAATAAAAAGTTTTCAATTAAAATAAAATCAAAGAAAGTTTTAAGTTAAAAGTTTAATTTTGAACTAATAGTTAAAATTACTATTATAAACTAAAAGTTTCAATACCTCTCAAAAAAAAAATTAAATAAAGAGTTCATTACTATACATATTTATATATTATAAGATTGTATACTATGCAAATTAAAAGTTCCAACTTAACCTTTGCAATAAGTAATTAAATTACTCTCCAAATATTAATAATATTTTGTATTTTTCTTCTATGTTCATTTTGAAATTAGAATCAGTAAATATAATTTTTATTAAATCATTTTTCATACAATCCAGTATTCTTAAAATATCTAAAATATATTTCTTTTTGATAATATTCAATTACATTTATACATTTTCACTTTTTTACTAAAGTATTTTTGTAAAAATTTATTTTTCTAGATATAAAACAATAAGAAAAAGATGATACAAACCTGACATCAGTAAATACATTAGCTGATAGACAATAGTCATATGTAATACTTGAGATATACATCTGTTAAATGTATAATTCCAATTATCTAAATTGTCAATATAAATTATGTGGAGAATTATTAATTATAAAAAAGTTAATTTTTTATTTTGTAAAGTATAACTATAACTTATTGAATAATTAGTAAAACAAATAAAATTTGATCTTATAAATACTTTAAATCATTAGATTTTTCTTTAGCAGATAAAAAGTAAGTATGATTTACTTTAAGAATTATTATTTACTAACTTGTATTATATTCAATTTGCTCTTTCAAATTAAAAAGAATATTTTAATATAATAAGTTTTTTAATTGTAACAAATTATTAGGATATAAATTTTACTTTGATAAAAAATTTCTATATTATTGAAATAAGTATATATTATATAAATACAGTATGTTGTATCATATCTTCAAAATTATTTTAAATAATAGAGAACTGATACTATTAATTTGCAAATGTAAAATTCTTTGAAATAATTATATGAATATTTTACTAAAAAAAAAGATAACAGAAATTTAAGTATTATCAAAATATTAATAGATATTGAAAAATATTTAATACAGAATGGAATGACTCTTTCTGATTTTTCAGAACTTTCAAAACTTGATTATTTATTACTTGAGGAAGATCAACAAATGACATTAATTGCTGAAAAATAAAATTATAATCAAGATAAAATTAAACAAGTCTTAGAACATTTTGATAATTTAAATCCTAATCAAAGAATAATTTTTGATACTATTTTAAAAACAATTAATAAAAAAATTAATCAAAATGTATTTTTTGTTGATAGGTCTGAAAAAATTGAAAAAAAAATTTTTATATAATATGATCTTGGTTTATATAAGATCATCAAGATTATCAAAATTATTAACAAGTGGTTTAAATGAAATTGTTATTACTGTAACATTTTCAGAAATTATAGTATTATTAATTAATGGAGGTAGAACTAATCATTCGAAATTTAAAATTTCTTTAAAATTAATTAAAACCACTATTTTAAATATTGAAAAACAATTTGATTTGATTATATTGATCAGAAATTCTAAAGTTATTTTATAGAATGAAGTACTAATGTTAAATAAAAAGTATTTAAAATAGTTGACAGAATATTTAAAGATTTAATAAACAATAATGAAAAACTTTTTAAAAGTAAAGTTGTTGTTTTGAAAGGTGATTTTAGACAGATCTTACCTGTTGTTGTTTAAAAAACAGAAGAACAAATTGCTGATGCATGTTTAAAGTCTTCATATCTTTGAAAAAATATTCAAAACATGTCATTAATAATTAATATAAAAGTTCAACAACAAGATAATGTTGAACAAAAGAATTTTATTGATTTCACTAGTCAAATAAACAAAAATTTTGATAATTCGAGTCAAAAATCAGCTAAAATTAGTCATTTAATCTATAAATCACCTGATAATCAACTGTCTGATTTGTAAATTAACCATTTAATTTTTAGATAATTTTTGAATAATTTTTGATAATAATAAAGAAAAAATTAATTATTTTACTTTTTTATTAGTAAAATATCAAAATTCTTATTAAGTAAAATTATAATCAAGAACTAAATACACCTACTAAAAAAATTTGAGACCTAAATCTCACAAATTAAAGAAAAGAGAAATATTAAAATTTTGAATATTCGTTTATAATTTAAATACTTGGCTTTTCTTCAATTTGTGAACTTTAGATCTAAAATTTATTTAGTAGGTGTATTTAGTTCTTAGCTTAAATTAGTTATTAAATTAAAACTTTTATATGTAGATACAATTGCTAATTTTATATATAATTTAATATTATACATATAAAAATATAAAATTATTAAATAATATATAAAATCAGCAATTATATCTACATATAAAAATTTTTAATTAATAATTAAATCACAAAAATATTACTAAATAAATTTATATATACTAAATAAATTTTAAATCTAAAGATCACAAATTAAAGGAAAACTAAATATTTAAATTATGAGTGAATATTTAAATTTAAATGTTTCTTTTTCCTTTAATTTGTAAAATTTAGGTTTAAAATTTTTTTAATAGATTTATTTAATTCTCAACTATAATTTTACTTAATAATATTTTTAATGTTTTATTAGTAAAAAAAGTAAAAATAAATGATTTTTTTCAAAAATTATTTAAAAATTATTCAAAAATCAGATGACCAATTTGCAAATTAGACAGCTAATTTTTAGACAATTCAAAAATCAGATGGTTAATTTTAGCTGATTTTAATTATTTGACCAGTATTTCTTATTAAAGATTGGCAAAGGAGAAAAAATTATGTATTCTGAAATTAGTGAAGATATTATTAAATTATCTGAGAATATATTTCTTGATAATAATAATTTAGATTCTTTAATATTAGAAATCTTTACTAATATTACAAATAATTATAAAAATAAAGACTATATTAAAAATAGGACAATTTTTATACTAAAAATACAGATGTTTAAGAAATTAATAATCAAATATTAGATCTTATTCCTGAAGAAACATATAAATATTTTATCTGCAAATTTTGTTAAAAATAAAGAATCAGTTGACAAAAGTCTTTATTTTATTGAATTTTTAAATACTCTTATATCAAGTAAAATGCCATCTTATAAATTGATACTTAAAAAAGAAGTTCCTATTATTCTTTTATATAATTTAAGCTTTTCTGAAAGATTATGTAATGGTACCAGATTAATAATTAAAGGATGTCAACCTTATGTAATTGATGCAGAAATTTTGACAGGAATTAACAGTGAAAAAAGAGTTTTTATACCTTAAACAAGATTATCACCAACTGATACAGATCTTCTATTTCAATTAACAAGAAGACAATTTTTAATTAAATTATCTTTTGCAATGACAATTAATAAAGTACAAGGTCAACCCATTTTATACATGAAATTATATTTGCCCAAACTTGTTTTTACTCATGGACAATTATATGTAGCTTTATCAAGAGTTCAATTAAAAGATAATATTAAGATTTTAGTTAAAGATGATTAAATAGAAGGAAGTGATAATATATTTACTAAAAATATTGTATATAAAGAAATTTTTTAAATCTGTATATATTTATATTTTGTATATTATCTAATTTTATAAATAGTTTTAAAAAGTATTATAAATATAAATATTATTTTTAAACTCACAAGGACTACTCTGTGACAGTGATTTATTGCATTTTAATTAATCATATATTACATTTTATTATATTATAATAATTAAATGAAACTCTGACAAAAAATCCTTTGAACCATTTCTGAACTGATGCAAACTGGTTCAGTTCAATTCAGTTCAGGTTAGGTTTTGGTTTGATTATTTTTAATTTTGGTTCCAAACCGAACCAGTTTTTAAATTTTGGTTCAGTTCCAGTTCAACGTTAGAACCAAACTGAACCGTTACATTAGGAGCTTTAGTTTTTAATATTCACTTATTATCCATCCGTCACTTTGCTAATTAAACGAAAAATTACGTGATTGGAGGAAGATTACACAAAATTTTTAATTTGGTCACGATTTACATGACAGGGCGTGATTTTATATTAAGATATGAACGTCCGTGAAAAGAGAATTACAAAAATCATGGAAATAATAAATTAATCTATGTTTTTATCTAAATAACTCACTTTTATTTACGTACTATGAGATCCTTTTTCTTTTTAAAATTACATATATTTCTAGTTCTAAAACTTTATAAGACCTAGAAAATCCATATCCAATTATCAAAACACCTCCAATTACATATTGAACAATGAGTAAAGGAGAGAGAAAAAAGTTGCACCGAAATTATACATATATGATTTATTGCAGTAAACTCACGGATCACGAATTAATTTATATATTCCTTTTTTTTTTTGCTTTCTACAAAAATTCGAAATGACCATAGAAATTTATAGAACACATGATGTTTTATCTATTTTTATTTTTTTTTCAAATATAAAGGTAAGAGTGATCATACCATGTCAATACAAGATAAACAACCAACCAATTAATCATGGAAAGATTAATACAAAATTTTTTAATATCTTCTCACGGTTAAATTATTTACACGGTAATTGTAAAATTTAGTTATATAAAACAAACTTTGTATATCGTTAAATTCGAAAAAAAAAGAAATTATTATTTACGTGATAAATCGTGCAAAATGTAAATTTAGAAGGAATTTTCGAAAATAGATTTTGTATACCGTTGAAATTGAAAAATAAATTATAATATTTCAATCATTTGATGTAATCCGTAACTCTGGCGTAGTTTAATTTATACGCGTTATTTGTATGATTTAGGTAACGTACAATAAAGTTTATCATGACAACAAACTATACATTTCTTTTACATTCCCGAGTTTTACAATCCGCACATCTTTTTTACGTCACTCGAGTGACTTAGTTGAATTCTTCAAGTGACTTAAGTTTCATAAATTTTGTGTCACATGATTACGTCATACATGACCTAACCTAAAAAGAAATAACATAATTATGACAAGTTAAATAAGAAAAAATTTTACAAATAGGAAAGGATAATTGATTTATGGATAACTTATAAACAGATAAGAAAACAAGCAAAAATAGGTAGACCAATTTTTTTTTGATTTGCATTTTACACAGGTTGAATAACAAAACCAGTTTATTTATTTTTCTTTTTTTGGCAAGGAATGATTTTGACAAAGAAATTAACTAATTTTTAATTAGTCTAATAAAGTTGGCAAAATGATTTATAATAATAATTTTATTATAAAGAAATAAAAATCTTTATTTGTGATACAGAATTCTATGTGTATTAATAATAATATTAATGATGCTAATTAATAACTAAATAACTAATAATAATAATAATAATAATAATAATAATAATTAATAGGAATTCATTAAAATCCAAAATTTCATTCTAAATTTTATAGTACAGATCAAAATCTACAATAATAATTATTAATCTATAATTTTTATTATGAATAAAGTTCATTTATAAAATAAAAATCCATCCACCTCATATTAAATTCCCCTACTTTTTTAATTTGAAAACACGTATAATTATCATTTTGCATTCAAAAAAAAAACATATAACTTATTCCCAGTTTATTTGAAGTTTCTCCAATTACTTAAATAATAATTTTTTTTTTTTTTTTTTTTTTTTTTTGAGCGCGTTTAAAAATTATAACAAAAAATTAGTTTGTTAAATTTTACCAATATTAAAGTTCTTTCTTTCTTAATCTTATTAAAAATTCGAAACTTTATCGAAATAAAATTAAATTATTGAAAATTTACAACGCATTCTTTCTTGTCAGTTCATCAAACCTCTTGTAAGTATATCCCACAAATGCTAGATCCTTTTGATTGTATTCTCCGGTGACATTTGTATTAATACGTTCTAGATTCATAAATTATTATTATTATTATTATTATTAAGCCAAAAATATCTGAAAAAAAAGACTACGTAAACAAGAGTCATATGACATACCCGTAGTTTGAGGTTGCTCGGGAATTTTTTCCAAATCTTCCGTGGGGAAATAACTAGTATCCGTGATTGATTTTAAATTAGGTACGAATGGTGCCTCAATGTTACGAATAGTATCCCAATCTACCCCTGTAAAGAATGGATGTGCTTTGATCTCTTCACCACCATGACGACCCAAACGTTGTTCGGGTGCACAAATAAGTCTAATAAATAAAAATTACTTATTCCATTCAATAATCATTTTAACAGTTATTTTTGACGCGACGAAAAAAAAATAAAAAAATTTAATAAAAAACAAAATCATATGATACCTTCGAATTATATCTTCCGCTTCAGGACTTAAATGAACGTCATCGGGAAAATACAATTGATCCCGCCAATTAATAATTTTCCGATATGTTTCATGAGCATTTTCACTACAAAAAGGAGGATAACCGACAAGACACTCGAACATGATAGCACCAAGTGACCACCAATCACATTCTTGACCATACCCTTGTTGTAAGAAAATTTCCGGTGCAATATAATCAGGAGTTCCTACAGTAGAATAGGCCTGTAAAAAAAATAATATTTTTTTTTTTCTTTTTTCAATTAAGCATCTTTTTAAGGATAAATTTCAACTAATAATAATATGATAGTAAAAAAAAACTACAACTAACCAATGCCCTTCGATTTTTTTTCCACGTAGCGATTCTATCTTTACTTGACAATGTTAGATTAATATTAGCTTCACTACCTAATTGTCTGTGACCGCCACCACTATTCAGGGTACCATCCAAAAGACGTTGATAATATGCGGAATCATGTGTTCGATGAAATCCAGTTGAAAGACCAAAATCAGATAATTTAATATGACCGTCTTTATCAATCAAAATGTTGTCTGGTTTAATATCTCTGGAATTAATAGAATCAATAGAATTTATAAAATTATTATTTAATCAATATAAAAAATTAAGAAATTTTGAGATTCGTAAATTTTCTTACCGATGAATAAAATTTAATTTATGAATGGCCTCAATAGCCAAAACACATTCAGCAATGTAGAACCTTGTTACATCTTCTGAGAATGTGTCATACTTAATCAACATTGTCATCAAATCCCCACCCGGTAAAAATTCCATGATAAGGTAAAGATATGATGTATCTTGAAAAGAATAAAATAATTGAACTACCCACGGAGAGTCTGATTCCGCTAGAACATCACGTTCGGCTTTAACATGAGCCAACTAAAAATCCCCCCCAAAAAAATAAAAAATAAAACTGAAATGAATTCTAAAATCATGAATCTAAATTCTATAATTCTACAATTCCAATATATCACCTGATCTTTCTTAAACATATCTGCCTTTCGTAATGTCTTCATCGCATATATCTTACCCGTATCAGCTTTTTGAACTAACCGAACCTAGTTTGAAACATATTTGAAAAAAAAAAACATTTAAAGTCAAATTTAAGATTTATTCAAATAATAATTACAAATTAAAAAAAATAATTAAAAAGAAATTATTCAATTATTTCGAAATGCTCACCTCACCAAACGCACCTTTACCGATTACTTTAACAGTGACAAAGTCCTCTAAACCTAGTCTTGTTCTTCGAAGTCTCAAAAACGATGATTCTTTACGTCCAAGTGATTGAAGTTGTCTATTTTTACGTTCCCCTGAACAATCTTCTTTTTCAAGTTTTTTTTCAAGTTCAGTACGCCTTCAATTTTGAAAAAAAAAAATTGGTTAAAAAATTGATCTAATCTGAGCCATTTTGTGACAATAAATTATGATTCTTTTATTACGTTTTTCAATCTCAAATTACAAATTGCAAAATAATCAAATAATAAAATAAAGTTGTTTGAAATACCTTTCATTTCTTTCCCTTGCCTGATCCAAAGTAACTTTATAAAAGTGCTCCAATTTTAATCTTGCTGCAGTAGATCTATCCAAAGTACCTTTAGAAAAACCTTCGGTGGACCTCTCAAAGTTTACATACTCTTGCCCACCTTTACCACCAAAGCCACTTGCTGACTCCGAACTAATAAAATTTTGATGTTCATAGTCTCCCATTTTAATGAATCAGATGTTAATTTTTTTTTTCAGAGTGTTATAAAAAGTAATTAGATAATCCAGTGATTCTGTGTGACGCGGTTAAATTATCAATTTTTTTTTTCGAGTGAAACGTTTTTTTTTTTTGTGTGCGTACTTTTTGTAACATCAATGCGACTTAATATATATTATGCAAACAACGAGACACAACGAAAAAACAAATAGGCGAATAACTGTGAAGGTTCAAATAAGATTATAACGAACGAACGAACGATATTGACCGAAATTAAAACCTTCGCTTGTATCATTATTATATAATAATTTTATTTCTTTATGAACTTTATAAATCATCATGAACTTTTATTCTGTGAAAAGTTAAACAATGAGCTTTATTTTTTTAATCAACATTTTATATTCATCGGAGTTTTTTTTTTTTTATGCAACTTATTTGATGGCTTCATTTTTGATCACGAGTTTAATCACTTATTAAAGTTACAAAAGATGTCAAAAAAAAAAAAAATAAATGTTTAAATTATTTATCATCAAAGCATTTGAATCTCCATCATTAATCCGCAGACCTGATTTTCTTTAAGCATCCTTTTGGATTATATCCAAAATATGGATTAACCATTGAGTTGCTCCTAATCTGATTGAGGTGTTGACATTATCCATGTATAGTCCATTCCGGAAAAATTTATGAAATTAGGAATTGCATTCATGCTCGATCATTGAATAAATTGTCACTACCTTAGTGTTATATGCTAAATACAATAAGTAACACAATTTAGGCAGGTTCAATTGTTATTCGTAAGGTATCGTTCGCTACGCGATGGTTCATTCTTATCGTTTTTTTTTTTTGGCCTCCCAAGCATTCGCAAAGCATTGGGAATGGATCAAAAGTATAGTTGCACACATTAAAACTGATCGATTCAATCTACCCGCTGATCCTTTATACATTCAATTAAAGATCCCAAATGTGAAACATTTAATAAAAAAAAATATTTGGTAATTGTATTAATTGTATTACAATTTTATAAATTAATATATACAATTTTAATAAACTTTCGTACAATTCGTACAATAATAATAATAATAATAATAATAATAATAATATTTACTAGATCAAATCCTAGATCCTTATTATTATGATTAATATGAACACCAAAAACCCAGGTCATTTTGTAGATATATTTGTCAAAAACTAAAATATAATAATATTATTGAACAAAAAAAATTGTATTGACACTATAAATATTCACTTTCTCAACCCGATTTTCCATGTAAAAAAGAAAAAAAAATTATGGGGTTTTTCGCATAATAGAATTTTATTGGTCCACATTTTTTTTTAAAATGTTTTGTGTTAAAGAGATTTTTTTTTGGACTTTGATTCCTTCGAAAAGCAAAAATGGAACTAAAAAAAATTTTCAAAGGGATGGCAACATTGACAATATTATCGGAATTTCTGTCGAGAGAAATCTATTTATAAGAAATTTTTTTTTTTAAAAAAAAAGAAGGGGTGAGTGAGGGAAGAAAAAGATTCATCAGAAAAAAAAAAATCGAAATTAATGCTTTTCCAAGATGAATGAAATTTGAATGAACTAATATCACACATCCAATTAACCATCATTGCCATCATCATTGCCATCATCCTCATCTTGCCAAGGATCAGCTTCTGTGTTTTCTTGTTCATATTCGGTTCCTTCAATTCCTTCCCCATCTATTAGGGAAGCATTTTGATATTCGATAATGGTATTTGGTTTTGATAAGTCGATTAATTTTCCTGATTCAACCGCTCGAAGTCCCATTTGTCGCGCTTTTTGAAAGATTTGAATTCTAAAATTAATTTAATTTAATTTAATTTAATTTAATTTAATTAATTTAATTTTAATTTAATTTAATATAAATAATATAAATTAGATTGATGTCAATAATAAATAAATAAACCAAATAAATAAGAAAAATAAATAAAATAAATTTAATAAGATAGATAGCCACCGAAGATCTGTTATATTCCTTCTAACCTTTTCTGTTCTAAATCTAATTTGAAAAACGGATCAAACATACCTTGTTCTTTCCGGTTCGAATTCTTTAATAATCAATTCCCAATCTCCATTATATTTATCATGAGCAACTTTCAATCGTTCGACTTCTTCCTCCGACCAAAGTTGTCGTGGTGCTCTTCTATGTTTATGTGCCTTTTGACTCTCAGAACTATAAGCCTCCTCCCCACTAGCTTCAACATCATCCCCAGCATTCCTTTTTAATTTTCTATTACTATATTGAGGATTAACAGAAGAATATCCACTCATGCCTGGAGCTAGCATACCACTAATTACCATTCCTGTTTCGTTGATAATCTGAAGAGGATCGACTCCTGGAGTTGGAGGTGCCAAGAATAATGAAACATCTGTTTCCTTTAAGAGATTTGAGATGCCTTGATAATATTCCGCATGTAACTCAAGACATTTCTTTTGCTAAGTAGACACAAACATATAAAGGAAAACAACACGAACCAATTTGAATCAAAGAGAAGAGATTTTGATAAGTTGATTATTTATTCACATATATTTTTTTTTAACTTTAAATGATACATAATATTATAATACCATTTTTGCAAAATAAAACATACAAACTCGAAAAAGTTGTGAATGGTTTTTCTTCGAGGGATGTGCATTCTATTATGATAAGTTTTGTTGACTTTAAACCTAAACTGTGTTGTCGTTGGTGGCGATGTAGGTACTGGTTTAATGTCTTCGGTTGCCATGTTTTGTTTTTGTTATAAAAAAAAAAAACACAGGTAAAAAATTCGCAAAGGTAAAAAGGTAAATAAAAGGAAATATTTTAGTTTAAATTTAAATATTATCGCTTCTGTTGTTGTTTTTCTCGCAGGGTATATTTTTTTAATATCTTTTTTAATTCAACGGATTAGCTCCGGTAAAATGAGGACAGATTTTTACCTATTTAGGATGATTTAACAAATGTTGGTCACATTTGCATATTACAGATGAATTTGAAATATATGTACTACTAATATTGTATTATTATGGTGTTGATAAAATGGCACACCTTAATTTTCACCCCTTAAATTTCACCTTTAACGTCATATGCGTTGAATTAAAAATCACGTTTGACATATAATAAATTATAAATTATTTATTTATAAATTATTTATTTATAAATTATATTTGAATTTCAAATTTTAAGACTCGGAATATAAATTTCAGTTAAAAGAATTACATACAAAAAAAAAATGAATTTACAAAAATGCTCCTAAATGAAATTCCAAAGCAGAACAAGGATAAATAATTTCAAAACTTTCTAAAACTTTTGGATGAAGTATACCAAAACTTCCAATTTTCTTTGTGTTTTCAGAAGTTCGAAGGAAAATATCTGCACTACGATTTGGGAAATACGTAGGATCTGAAATTGAAAAAAATATTATTATTATTATTAATTAATTAATTAATTTATATGTGGGAATATTCAAAAATAAATAAATAAATATATATATATATATATATATGTATTGAAAAATAGTTTACCAGTAGATTCTTCAATAAAATATCCATCTTCAGTACAAGTTTTAAGAACAAGCGTTATATGAAGCATATCCATAATACGATTTACGAGTCCATGAATAAACTATATATATATATATGTATAAGAAGATAATAATATATAATTTAACAAACTTTTAAAAGTGGATAATTTCACATAATTTTTAATTATATATTATATATTTTACATACCTCGAACCCAGATACTTTACTACAATAAATCGCACAAACATTTCTTTCATTTCGTGCTCGTCTTTCCAACGAATCATCTTTGAATACCACATCCGATACTTCGAAAACTTTAATAGGTAATGCATGTTTCTTATTTTCTCTTACCGTTTTCAAAATTCCTGGTAAGAGTGAAGTTCGAACCACTTGATATTCTGCTGTTTTAGGATTAGCCAATTTTACAGCCGTCAAATTATCATCTTTTTTATTTAAATAAGCAAAATTTTCGTCATGAGAACACTAAGAAGATATAATAATCAATAATTTGCTATTAGATAAGAAGAAATAATTATAATATTTGACACATAATACTTCTAATACATACCAATATTAATGGCAAAACTTCGGTCCAACCAGATAAAGCTAATTCTCTTCTTACTAAATCACTTAATTTATTAATTGGTAATGCTTTACCAACAGTAGCACTGCTTGGCATAGTTTTTGGAATATTATTAAAACCATAAGCAATTGTTACATCTTCCATTATATCACATGCATGTAAAATATCCGCTCTAGACGGTGGTATTTCAACGATAATTTCTTTAGAGTCGTCATTCTCGACTTTGGCAAAAAGAGACATACGATTTAATAGTACCACTATTTCTGAGGGTTTTAAATTTAAACCCGCACATGCATTTATGTAATCAACTTTAGCAGACATTTTACGAGTTGAGAGGTCCGGATAATTATAACATTTGCCATCAGGATAAGTAACCTTAACAGGTTCAACACTATAAATTAAATTAAATTAAATTAAATTAAATTAAATTAATGCAAAAAAAAAAAAAAAAAAAAAAAAAAAAAAAAGTAAAAGGAAAAAAAAAAAAAAGAAATTAAAAAAAAAAAAACCCCGGAAAAGGGTGCCCACAAAATTCAAAAAAACATGTAA